CTTGGTTGAAACCACCCTGGTCTGTTGGTATTTGTGTTGCAAAATTGAAGCAGAAGCCAGGTTTTCTGCACGGTGCCTAAGACCGGATGTCTTGCAGCCATCCTAAAGCCTTCACGCCAGGCTTTGGCTCCGGCCCCATGTGCCATGGCAAAAAAAGTCGGCTTCGCCAAAACCGGGCGAGCGAAACCGGGCGAGGCGTTTCGGTTTTTCTTGCCGTCCTCGTGTGTTAAACGCCGGATGGTTGCCTTAGTGGCAACGTACTGGTCTTAGGTGTGGTAACTTTCACGCTGGTTGTCAGCATCCCCAGCGTTTCTGGCTTCGAGTGGAATTAAAATGAGGTTCGTGGAGACAGCTGTGTCCCTGCCATGTGTTTGCGAAAAAATGCAAAAAACGCAGAGCCGGACTTTTGGCGACCAAACGAGGAAGCTTTACGACTTGCGTTAACTCCACACTCACCCAGTTGAATCGCCAGAGGGGACACGGGAAGGGATCACGTTTTCGGCTGGTTCCTCTGCAGCCAAAGACTAAATCGGTCATAAGGAGGGGGGCGCTCACACAGGCCGAGTTGTGGTGTTCTTTCCTGTTGTCATTGAAGATGAGCGCAACCGCTCGGCACGTGTGCAATAACAAACCACTTTCTTTTTTTTTGCGAAACGCGTTGCCACCATGTTAATATCACGCCGGCTTGTTGTTGGCTCACGCAGTTTTACTTGATGGAAGCCCGGGCAAAACCACCTCCTGAATTGATTAACTAACAGGGGCATCCCATCCCAAAATTGTGGCTGTCCTTTGGGTTTTCCTTTAGAGCCACAAACATAAGGTACCCTCAAAAACAAGGTCGCGCCGCTGTTAGCGGCCCCGCTGAATTTGCACTTTTTCAGCCGTGTGATTTGATGCAATCGTCAACCCTTTCAGCACTTTGTGAAATGTTGCATTTTGAGGCATGCTGAAATGTCCCACGTTTAATGACATTGATAACTTTGTGGCTCATTTCTATTGGGCAAACACAATTCAGAGGCAAAGGCTGGGGCGGAGAAAAAAAAGGCTTCAGGCACGTCCTCGCGCCAGCTTGCCTAACTCTTGCAACATGCAAGATACTCTGTTGACATACGAGTAGACGTATGTGCGCAGCTGGTGCGCGGACGCAGAAGTGCAGGGCCGGCGATTCAGAGAAGATTGCAGAACGCAGGTCCAAAGGCAGCAGATGAGCGATGAGGCTCTAAGACAGCAAACCGCAATGGGTACCTATCTTTGAGCAAGGACGTTTGCCGAACAAAGTCCAAGGCAGGGTCCGCGCCTGGCAGGCACTGCGCTAGATGAAGGTCCTCCAGGCACAGCAAGGGCACCGCGAAAATCAGGACAGATCCCGAAGCGCAGGGCGCGGACGAAAAGCCAGCAAGACGAAGCAAGATGCGCAGCAAGAGAAGGCAGAGACAGAATGAGGCTAACGGCAGTCGGACGCACAAGAGTGCGTGCAGATGCAAACAGTATTATCTCCCCCCCCACCCCCCCCTCCCAACAAAAGAGAGACTTTTTTTGCCGCCGCTAATGGCGGCGTGAGCAAAAACAAACACACACCCATTGAAGGGAGAGTTCTCCAATTTTGGGGCCAACTGCCAACGCTGTAATACACTGCTTTGCAATCCGCCAGCTTAACTCCGGGTTCAACTTTCGCACCCCGCGACTGGCCCATCCGAGGCTTTGCGCAACCAGACGCTGCTCGCCGAGCAGGCTGGGGACGGGCGCACGGGCGCGCGTGCAACGAGCTTACCTGGGGCTTTGGCGAATTTAGTTGTCCAGAGCGCTCTCAACCCAGGTAGATGAAAGTTAGTAAGGGATAGCACAAATGGCTGCGGGTCAAAATTAGGTACCCAAAATGGAACCCTGGTAAGTGGCAACATGGACCAAAACCTGCGGTCCTCTGGTGGTTTAATTTTGACCCACACCCAAATAGGGGCGCCTTCTCAGTTATTTACATGCTTCTGGGTCGACTATTTTGATTCCAGGTTTTGATTGTGACTCCGAGTTTTGGAAGGCCGCCAACTGGCGAATGAACAGCCTGGACATACACGCCTGCAAACCTCACATTGTCACATACCCTTGCAATGTTGCTCTTTTCCAATGCACAAATGAACACCTGGCTATTTTGCATGACACCCCGCAAGCACTTGAGATACAAAACCAAACTGAGTCATGTCCGAGACTATCGCGAGTCTTAGCCGGGGAGAAGCCGCCCGAGCGGAGATTTCTGGGGCACTTGCGCCAACCAATTCAAGGAAAACTCGTGGACCTCGCCCGTTAGTGGGCTAATGTCCAAAGTAGGTACCCAAAATGGACCCCTGGTAAGTGGCAACATGGACAAAAGCCTGGTGGTTTGATTTTGACCCACGCGCATGTAAATCATGACTTATGGGGTTTGAACCGCTGGCCCGAGTTTCCCAGCAGATGCCCCCTGTTTACTTTTGTGCGAAGGTCTTTGGTTGGTTGTTCTTTAAAACCATCCCAAGAACGGTGACTCCTATTTCGAAAAACATCGAACTAGAGCCATGTCACGCTTGAACTTAGGTCGACACACAAGCCCAGGACGGCCTTGCGCTCAAATGCCGAGTTCTGTCATTTTATTTGTCCTTACCCTCTTTATTGGTTGGGGGATTTGATGGGTGGTGTGGACCACCAGACCACGGGGAGAGATGCGATTGCGGGGAAGTGGAAGCCTTTCAGAGGACTTGCATATCACGCAGAGCTCTAGGATACCTACCATGGCTGGACGAAATCCGCTTAGGCACCACCTAACAACCCCTGATGTCTGATTCGATACCCCGACGTAAATACCAACAAACGCTATGGGTTCAGCCATGCTATCAAAGTAGGATTTCGTCCATCCAGAGGAAGGCCGGGCTTGGCCATGAAACCAATTTTGGGGGGTCTGTGTATCCCTCGTGGACACGACGGGACACACCCTGACTGTACATACTTAACTTGGGTAACTTGCCCAGACAGGACGGGACACACCCTGACTGTGTATAATTAACTTGGGTAACTTGCCCAGACAGGACGGGACACACCCTGACCGTGTATAATTATCTTGGGTAACTTGCCCAGACAGGACGGGACACACCCTGACTTTTTATGATTAACTTGGGTAACTTGCCCAGACAGGACGGGACACTCCCTGACTGTGTATAGTTAACTTGGGTAACTTGCCCAGACAGGACGGGACACACCCTGACTTTTTATGATTAACTTGGGTATATAACTTGCCCAGACAGGACGGGACACTCGCTGACTGTATATGATTAACTTGGGTAACTTTGCCCAGACAGGACGGGACACACCCTGACTGTCCACAATTAACTTGGGTAACTTGCCCAGACAGGACGGGACACACCCTCACTGTGTATAATTAACTTGGGTAACTTGCCCAGACAGGACGGGACACAACCTGACTGTATTGGGCTTGTTCAGACAGGACGGGACACACCCTGACTGGATATAATTTAAGCCTTGTCTGTAGCAGTAACTCTTTACCACCAATTTACCTCAAATTTTACCCCAATTGTGTGGGTTATTTACCCCCAATTTTGTCCAATTTTGTTGGTTATTTATCCCCAATTTTGTTGGTTATTTACCCCTAATTTTGTCGGTAATTTACCCCCCAATTTTGTGGGTTATTTACCCACAATTTTGTCCAATTTTGTTGGTTATTTACCCCCCAATTTTGTTGGTTATTTACCCCCAATTTTGTCGGTAATTTACCCCCAATTGTGTGGGTTATTTACCCCCAATCGTGTGGGTAATTTGCCCCCAATTTTGTGGTAATTTACACCCAATTTTGTGGGTTAATGGGCTGCTTTTTGAAGAGCACTCTTTTTTTCCAGCATACTTTGGTTCCATGCAAGGATCTTTTCCATGCATGGGGGTGGGGCAGTGCGCTCGAAAGGAATAAGGTTTCAGGGGTGTGGCCCCTCAACTTGCGGGTTCAGGGCGATGCGGACATTCCATCTTTTTGCAGACCGAGACATACCTGATCCAGCCGCGGATGTGTTGATAGACAAGCTGATCGTATAGAACAACGTTTGGATGCGCCTGTTGCGGATTCCACCTCTCCCTGTTGGTCCATGTTTCGGGATGGGTGGATTCGCAGACGCATCACCGTTCGCCAGAGACGCGCGGTGTCAGGACCATGCGCCCACGGACCTCATGTGGATGACGATGGTCCCCTGCGTCATCATCTTCATAGCCTTCCGACTAGCATCGCCTTCGCGAGAGCGCCACCCCAAAGTGCCACACTGGGCTTAGCGAGATGTTATGAAGATGCGAAGCGAATTGGGGATTCCTTGCAGACCAATGGTTGGCAAGTGTTTGGGTGCTGATCAATTTGACCAGTGTCCTTGTTTTAGATGTGTGAATCAAGAATTATTTGCTCAGATCGTATGAAAAATGAAGCTGTATAGTGAAGAAACGACAGAAAGCGGGGAGGCAGGGAGGGAGGGAGAGCGGGAGAGGGAGCGGGAGAGGGAGAGGGAGACAGGGAGAGGGAGAGGGAGACAGGGAGAGGGAGACAAAGCGAGGGAGACAGGGAGAGGGAGACAGGGAGAGGGAGACAGGGAGAGGGAGACAGGGAGAGGGAGACAGGGAGAGGGAGACAGGGAGAGGGAGACAGGGAGAGGGAGACAGGGAGAGGGAGACAGGGAGAGGGATACAGGGAGAGGGAGACAGGGAGAGGGAGACAGGGAGAGGGAGAGGGAGAGAGAGACAGAAAGAGAGACAGAGAGAGAAGGCAAGGAAGAGATGGACTCTTAGGCTGCTTTTGGCTTCCTGATTCCTGTCCCAAGAAATCATACAGCACAAGCAGCAATAGTTACCTAGGTTGGGCACCCCGCACTTGCGAGGAGCCAGCATGATTGACGCTCTTTTGCTAAGAGAGACCGCAGCCAGTGTAGCCCAAGCTGCGCGGGAAAGCTTTGCTTTGGTTTTATCACCTGCCATTGGACTGCAAGATGCTGGCAACGAACGTTTGGCCAAACAGGAGCGATTGGTGCGGGTGCGTTGTTTATTTTGGCACTGGTCCTTGTTTGGTCGCTGAAAGATATGGTGTGATGAAAGTGCACTTTGTGCAGTACTTGTCCTAGCTGCTCCCAGCTTTGGATCGACATGTACACTTTCCGTTCAGGAGCATCCTTGGCACCGTGGACCGCCTGGGGAAGCTCTACGTTGTGCTGGTCAAGAATTCGTCCCTGAACATCGAGCCCTGGCCCCCGATGCTGCCTCGCAGCAGGCGGATGCCGTTTTCAGCAGGGAGCCAAACCGAGTCGTGGATTGAACCATATATCCTATGTCCGCCTTTGAAAGTTACGCCTGAGCCGTTCAAAGGCGTGAGTCATCGACTTGGCCTATCGCAGGTCCTGCCCGGCCCTTTCAGTCGTGCAGCCCGAGGATGCGGCTCGGCGAGAAGGTGGAGTGAAGAATTTCTGAGGTAGAAAAAACACATGGCGACCCTCCCATCCACGTGGAAACTCCTGCTAGTGGATAGTCGATCTGAGCCATGCTTTAGAGCAGATCTGTTTAGGATGCTTTGAACATTGACTGAGGACCGGGGGTGTGAAGAGCCTGCGGAACAGCTTCTGTCCGATGCTGCAGTGGCTCGTTTGCGCCATGCGGGTGGACAATGCCTTCCATGCATCTTCTTCCACAGCAAAGCAGACGGTTGCCGCAATGGCGACAGGTGCAGTCACTGCCACATTTGCACAGTTGCCGACATGAAGCACAAGAAGAACTTTCTGAAGCGGCAAGCAAAGCGCAGGCGGTGATGTGAGCGCACTCGTTGGACTGCAGATGCTACTGTGGGTGGACAAAATCCTGCACTTTGAAACCATAGCAAGCGTTTGTATTTGCGTTGCTCATTGCGCATTGTTCTAAGGGCTGATTCCCAATTCTGTTCAGCCATCGTCCTTTTCAAAAACCAGCTGTTTCTCCCGGATGTTTCATAGTTTTATGAGGAGAAGGGACCCTGGAAGGAATTGGGAAGCTTGCCCTAGGATTTGGCGGCCCCAGCTTGCTAATGCTTGGAACGGGCTATTTTCCGCGAGGTGTCAAAAAGCGAATCCTGTAAACTAATGTCCCAGTTGCTTGGCACCCTCCAAATCCGGTTCCGGAAGAGCTGAAATGAGTCCCACACCAAGTAACTGTTTGGTTTACGCAGTGTTGGGCAACTGGGATGCTCCAAGTGCGGGCATGCCTTCGAAGGCACCATGCTTGAGAAGCTCAGACCAATCTATAAGGCGCTCCAAGTCTTTGCCAAACCAGAATGCAGATCCAAGTCGGATGAGACCAGTATTTCACAACAAAATGCAATAAGAGAGTTACCATTTTCGGACAATTCAGCTGCGTGTTTGCCTGAGCCATCGGTTCCTGTTTGCTCCTTTGGGTTTGGAGACCAGCGTCGTTGCCCGCGGGAAGTGTGCGAGAAGCAATGCCATCAGCATCCGGAGGAATACTTGGTATATAGCTACTTGTGTCATGCGGTGTTGTTGTTCTGCATGTTTGACTGCAGCAGAGATTGACCAGGTCGTTCCAGTTTCAAGCGCGCGAGTAGAGACGGATCACTGGAGGGCGTTCCCTTTTGGTCTGTCAACGGCAAGAGGCAACGCGCGAGCATGGACATGTCCTGCGGCACTAATCATCTTGGAAATGCCATTGACCATCGACAGGCGTCCCTCTATTGCCCTTGTGTGGTTCTTCAAGCCTGAGCTTTTGGGCTAATTTCGAGGGAGTTGTCTTGCGAGGTGATGTCTGAAGGGGAGAGAAAAGGGACAAAACTGTGGCTAGCCATGAAGTCGCCGTGTCTCAGCCTTCGCGACTGCTTCTCCACCAAAGCTTCAAGGGCCGAGCCCCGTGAGTGAAGCTGCGCCTTGAGGACCTCTGAGTGTTCCTGTCCAGTCGGAGGCGTTGCCGAGCGCGGCTCAGCACGGCGGATTTTGGCCGTTTTCACAACATGGCAAGACGTCTTGTGACTTGCGCAAGCGCAAACCCGAGTCGCAATGCGGGGAAAGGGCTTGGCTCAGATCGGGTCGGAGGCTTCTCTCACATTTCATGCCCTTTGCAATGTCCAAACTTGGGATCATGAGGAGTTGGAACAATACCAATTGAACAGCAAAGAAGCCACCGGCCATGCATTTTTTCCCAAATGTCCGCATGATCGAATCCAGCTTTAGCCCTAGTAATTATGCTTTGATATACGTAGGGAATAAGTGCCAACTCAGGGTTTCTCGGAATCTTTGATCAAAACCACAGGCTTCAAATTGTGACCGGCCAATTGTCTAAGCCTTATCGGGTTTTCAGAGCAATCGTAACCAAGACAAGTGTGCTGGGGTGTGTGTATTTTTGTCAGCCCCTTGAGTGTCTCCTCCACGTTTGTTTCAAGTTCAGGATGGACTTGCATCCGAAAATTTGGATTCCGGTGAAACGCCAAAATTTAGTGTTTCAATTTCCCGCCAAACAAATACCCAGTTGCGCAGTGGCGCCCCTTTTTTCCCTTTGTATTGGTGAGGGTTCCCCTTGAAACAATTCATGCTTAGCCCTTCCCCTTAGTGGGACGGCCTGATTTTTGGCTTCGGCCAGGATGTGGGCTCCACTCACTCCAATTGGGGGGGGTGGGGTCTTGAGCAATGTGGCGGAACCAACAAAAAAGGGTGCCCTTTTTTCCCATGGCCACTGGGCATCTGAGTATATATGTCCTGTAGAATCACCTGTGGCTTGTTTCTTCCATTTGCACAAGAATATTCGATGTTTCCCCCTGTTGGATTTAAAGGGAGTCTTCACTATTGCAACTATGTTGGGACTTTTTCCCAGGGGCCGAGAAAGATCAATTCAGGCAGGTTGCTTCCTCCACAAGTGAAAGATTCCGCGTTGTCGGGAGCCCACCAGCAAGAATCAGCCAGGGGGTTGTTGATCCTGGGTCTTCAACAGTTTTTGAACAAGGAACTGGTTGCTCCCAGCCATCCAGTTCCTTAGTGAGGGGTTTCGATTTAACCCACCAGTTTCCCTTAGTACATTTGTTCATGTTTTTCCTTCTGTTGGTTTTGCGGGGAATCTATCACTACTAGACTTCTTTTTCCAGGGGGCTTAAGCAAATGTACGATTTAGCCTTTTAGCCTTTTAGGAGGTTTGGTTGGGTGTCCATTCAACCCACATCAAGGATCGAACCACGGACATTTCTCCTGCGGTCCACGGAGTCTTTCTTCGCACGACGTCACCCTTTCAAGCTTGCAAGAAGATGAAACAGACAGCCCAGCCAAGAAGGACCATACTCCTTTTCCGGTTAGTTTGATTAGAAATAGATGGTACTGCTTTAGATGGGTTTCCTTCCATTTACCAGGGAAACCCGTCTATTTGTCCAAAAGGAGACCAAATAGGGAAACCCATTTACTCAGGTTGTTGGTGGCTTTTTGGTTGTATCATCCATTTGCCAGGCCATCCATTTGCCAGGGAAACCCATCGATTTGTCCAAAAGGTCACCTATGGTCAAACACAACTACCTCCGACTCAAAAAAAAACCAACTCGCGAACATGCAGTTTACTGGGTGCAACCAAGCGCTCGTAATCTTCAACTACCCAAAGGGATGGGTAGTTTTATCAAGTTTTCCAGACCCTCTATTTCCCAGTTCAACTGAAACCAAAAGGCAAACCACCATGTTTAGGATCCCCCGGCTTGACAATATCCCATTTTCCCAAAAACAAGCCAAAAGCCAAAAGGGGACGATTGTTTGTTGTCTTTTTCAGATGCCCCTATTCCATATCTTTTAGAAGAGATTGGGGGAGCGGGGGTCAGCCCTAGAATTTCAATAGAATTGAGGAACTCCCCCGTCCATCCTTAGGTTGGCGGGGAGCGGCCGGGGTTCAGCCATGAATGAGCGGCCTTCGGGGTGTGGTTTGCCTTGGGCAGGTTGAATGCGCGTCCCCAAAGGGTACTAGAAAAAATATGGCCACCCCGAAATGTGTTGCGCATTATGGTATATCAACGGCATTGTTTCTCCGGATTGGCGCTCCAAAGTTTGGGGGAGTGGGGGAGTGGGGGCACCGCCGCCGCTGGTTCCCAGTCAGGTTTTGGCCTGGGCGGCGGCGCAGCTCCTGGCCACTCTGCGCGCGAGGCTCAGCGGCTGAGGCTCCGGACAAGCACGGGTTTGGTGGTGTTTTCTGGGTGTTCCCTTTTCGGATTTGCGTGTTTGGAGTTCAACTTTGTGGTTTTTTCCTTTTTTTTTGGGATTTCCTCAAGTTTTTGGTTTGCCTTCTTGGATTTCCCTTTTTGGTCTCCCGCTGTGGATTTCCCTTTTCGGATTTCCCCTGGTCTTTGGCTCACCTGAACCCCCTTTGCGGATTCGTTGTGGCTCGTAGGGCTCCGAAACTGGGAGCCCAGAAATCGGCTTGGGCTCGGCCAAGTCACTTGCCCAGCGCCCTTTGAACTTCTTTTTTGGAATCGGAAAAAATCCGGTTCCGATTTGGACTCAACCGACCAGAACCAAGCAAAAGAATGGGATGCCGATCCCTTCTTTTTCCCACCACTGGGCGTCTGAGGTTGGATTCACTGGTCATTGTCCCGTGGACTCCTTGTGGGAGAATTGGGGGGGGGTTGGGATTCCGCTGCGAGATGGCATACCCCTTTCTTTTTGTTTCCGACATTTCGGAAGCGGAGTGTCCCAGTGTCGATATGGAATCCCCTTCTTTTTTTTCCGGTGACAGAAGGATGGGCCCATCATGGAAAGAGGAGGGTTTCATGGTTGTTGTTGAGAAATATTTTACATTTTTGCTTATTGTGGTTTAGTGGGAAATCCCCACTAAACTGCTAAAATTTATTTTTTTGATCCCCTTCCAACGTCAAATCCGTCTATTGCTGTTTAGGGCCACCTCAGGTTCCGGCCGCTTTCGACTTCGCTCCGAGGCGGCAACGCCCCGAAGCAGGGCAAAGAGGAAGAACGAGGCGAGAGGGGGGCGGCTTGATGCCTTTGCCGGGGGTGGTCCGGCCGGGGGTGGTGTTGACGGAGGTTCAAGTTCGAGGATATGTTTGTTTGGAGTATGGCCCCATATCAATCGAACCCAGTTTATGAATAGGGGTGCTTCTCCCTGGATGAAATGTGGGGAATCAGACCACTTTTGGGGCCCAACACCGCCCCCCGATTGAAATAAGCTGGTTACTTGATTCATATGGGGTCAACATCTTCTCACCTTTTTTCCAGAGCGAAAGGCCAGAGAAGCAGCTCATGCACCCTTTGGAGGGGATGTTGAGTGGCATCAAATGGACACCACTCATTTTATCGGGGTCCCCGTCATTTGGACACCCAGTGTGCCATGGATATTTGTTCGATGCGAGTTGGCCCCGCTGATTGGTGGCCTTTGGTTGCAATTTGAAAGCTTTCCAAGAGCTGCCCCCAGTTTGGGACACGACGGTACGTGTCAAATCAAGTTCGAACTGCTGTACAGGTTATTTCAAGCACACCTTCAGCCTGAAGCCTTCAACTCGCTGGGATTTTGAGCAGCTTGAACTCCAAGCAGGCATGACAGAGATGGAGATGATGTTCAACATCGTGAAGAACATCGTGGGCGAGGGCATGCTGAGCTTGCCTGCGGGCATTGCTGGCGGCACAGGCGGGAAAGGGATCAGACGCGAACCGGAGCAGATGGAGTTTGGGGCAAAGTCTAGATGGCGGTGGGTCAAAACCGTTTTGGGATGCACCACCCATTTTGGTCGATTTTAGTGGGGATTGGGATGTTCACTGGGGGTACGATTTGCATTTTGACCACGGCCAGATCCTGGGTCTGGGAATCTATGTTCAGGTCTTTGCCAGGAAATGCGCCAAGAACGCCGGGCTTGACTGCGCATGAATTTTGGGCCATGCGGTTGGCTGCGCAGGCCTGCTGGCCTGGGCCCCAGAGGGGTTTGGCGTGTGGCAGAAGCGGCGGCCTTTGGTCTCCGATGTGTGGAGAGCCGCGTTGCGCGCAAGAGCCTTGGATTGATACCCTTTGCCCCTTCCCTGTGACCGAACTCCGTGCGGCTTCCTCCAGCCTTTGGAAAGCATGGCTGTCATTCACCTGTCCCGTCTCCGAGGCTGGCAGCTTCCTGGCGGTGCTTTTTGCCATGCTCATGGGCTACACCTTCTCCATCATGGGCCGCGTGTGCGCCGTGACAGGCCGGAGGCATGTTGGGATTTTGTCAGAATCGAGGTCCAGCTCGAAAAATCGGTAAATGGGTACACATCCATCGCCTTTCCTTTATTTTTGTTGTAAGGTGAGTAGCAGTCTGGCGCTTTTCCCTCTGTTTAAAGATCAACTCTTTGGGTCAATCTAGTATTTTAGACAACCAAAGCTAGCCAATTCCAACCGAACCTAGTCTATTCACTCTAATCTAATCATATCTGCTCTAATCCATTTATCCTAATTTCTTCCACACTCTAGTCCAGTCCACAAACTCATCAAGCCATATCCACTCTACTCCATTTGGCCTAATGTTGTCCACCCCTCCCCCGGTTCCCACCCCTCCCCAGTTTCCCCCCACCCCTCCCCCCGTGGTTTTTGTTGACCCCCGAGGCCAGCGGAGCCACAAGGACTGCGCCAAGGAGGTGAGCGGCCCGCTGCTGGGGGAGGCCATGGCCCTGACGCTGCTGGTGAAGACCGTCTTCACGTGGCTCGGAGGGACATTCCTAAAGGGATGAGTCAGGGAACGACCCTCGGGAAACACCATCCCATATGGCTTCCTGTAAGGGAATCCTTAGGTTCTGGGTATACACCGTGCTTCAGTTTGCCTTGAAGTCTTGTGCTCAGACTGCGTGAGTTGGAACCAAAATGCGTGAGCTGGTTTCGAAGGTAGAGGATGGGTGCATGTTCGCTTTTTTCCACATGGCTTCAAGGCCCAGAACGAGAGCCGCGGAGAGCTACAGAATGGAAGTGAGCTTGGGGAGCGAAGGTGCAATGGGAATTTGACTGGTTTCTGGCTTCTGGAGGGGAATTTGGGAAGCTGACCGGTTTCTAGCGGCGATTTGATCGGTTTTCTTGACCGGTGTTTGCGGTTTTAGAGGGGATTTGAGCTAGAGGGGAATTTGACCGGTTTTAAGGAGGATTTGGCCGGTTTCTTGGGGGTTGGGCTGGAGTCGGATTGGCTTTGTCTGGTTTCTTGGGGAAATGACGGGGGGCAAGATCCCTCTCAAAAAGATCTGACGGTTTTTTGGAAACCAACAAAATGGGCACTCTCCAAAAAAGGTGCAACTAGGTCTGGCTTTTCTTGAGTCTGGCTGGCCGGTTGCTTGGTTAGGTGGATGGATGGTCGAACCCCCTTCAAATAGGATATGGCGCCCCCATAGAGGCCCGGCCGGTTTTCCACTTGTGTCGCGGTGTTCATTTTCTGTCGAATAGAGCACATTTCCTTTTGGAGGCCCCTGTCATTGAAACTCGGACACTGGGCCAATCCAGTCAGAAAGTGAGAAAAAGTGATGCAAAAGCTAGAGGCCAGAAAGCCCGCTGTGTTTGCAGCGAAGGCAGTGTCAGGGAAAGATGCCAAAACCACCAAATCGAAAACCACGAAACCTGTGAAAAACTGATTTTGACACCTCCCCCCCTCAACCTGTGGGAAGCTGAGTTTTAGCACACACACACCCGCTGGTTTCCTCGCCCCCCTTTTGCGGGGGGAGCCAGCCTCCTGCAGCTTAGGTGCTTGGCCTTCGCCATTGTCATTGGGGAGTCCTTCTCCCGGATCCTGCCACTCGCCCAAAGCCCATCGGAATCGCCCAAAGCTCAAAGCCTTTTCGCTGGTGATCAGCCAATAGCTTTGAGCATGAAGCACACCAGGTTGTCCTTCTGTAGATGAAGGTTTCATTCGGTGCGAACGAATGAATATACTGCTATGATGACTCATGTTGATTCAATCTACCCCACAACCTCTTAGAAGGTTTTAGGCCCTTATCGTTTGTTGGTGATGAACGACCAGGGAACTTATGTGGGGTCACATACTTGGCCCCAATCAGGCTATTTTGCCGCAGGGGGTTGTAGGACGCCCTTAGTGGCCCTGGTCATGGGTTCTCTCTAAGGCAGCGCACAATCATATCCGTTCAAGGGCTTTGGGGAGTGGTTTGTAGTTTTCCTGGACAACTGGCGGAGTTTTCAAGTGACATGTAGCTCTTTATCTGAGCACAAACAAGACTGCCCTGCTCAGTGCTTCCAGGCAAGCCACTATAGTCACTGTAGTAGGCAACCGAGGACAACTATCATGTAAAAGTGGAGGTAGCAACTCCGGCTAGCTTTTTTTTTTATATCATGACAGGTGAAAGCACTAGATACCTTCTCTTTTGGACGCCACCCTTTTAGCACCTCTCCTTTTCCAAGGGATACGATGGACCACAGCATTTCCCTACTTTGGTCCCACCCACTTCGCGGCTCAGGCATTACTGCGGCTTCACCGGCGCGATGGCCACTACGCAGGCCTCGCTTTGCAGATCGGATCCGCTATTTTCACCTCGCAAGTCCATGATGGGCCTAGGGTTCGAAGCAGAATGATTCCCTGGGAAGCCTCGGGATTCCGAAGGCGCCAAAGAATAAGCACTAGAAACTAGAAACCTCGGGATTCTGAAGGCGCCAAAGAAAAAGAGCTAGAAACCATAGGATTCTGAAGGAGCCAGAAAAAAAATTGAAGAAGCAGCTAAGGGATCTGGACCGCGACAAAGTATTCAACAAGTACATCCGATGGGCCCACGAATTTCTGTTCGAGACCGCCGCAAAGTATTCCATGCCCTCCGCTTGGCCCGCGGATTTGGATCGAGAGACCGGCGGCCCAGGCTGCGCTGCTGCTGATTTGCGTCTTCGTGCTGGTGCCGCTGTGCCTCCAGAGGGAGCTTTCGGCCCGGAGCCCAAGTGGACCTCCGAACAGCGGGCACCGGAGGCTCCGGAGGGTGAGAAAAGCGAAAAGCCCGGAAAAGCTAGGGTTTTTCAGTCCCAGCCCAGTTTTGTGTTTTTTTGAATAGGGAGCGCAGGTTTGGCTGGCTCTGACAAGTGATATTGGGAGGAAGGGTTAAGTGTTAGGGTTTCATCCATGGGAATTTGTATAGGAGCGCTCCTTTGATTTGGGTTTCTGCTTTCTGCTAGGTCTGACAAGTTATATTCGGAGCTTGCCGTGGGGATTGTTCTGTTCAGAAGTGGCGACATGAAAGCCGTTTGATCGACTTGGGGTGGCTGGCATCCACAAGGGGCCCTGCTTTATCCGTGTGATGTTCCTGTTTGGGAGAACAATAGACCCGCCACATATGTATAGTATATGGTCATCCCCTGCCATGAGCTACCTCTGCTGCTTTGCCTCAAAAAGAGGTGTAACACCACACTGTGTTTGTTGTGTTTTTGACATAAGAACGACGACGCTACTTGTAGTTTGAGTGGATACAAGGAAAAACACAAGATCATTCACAGCCCCAAAAACACAAATTACAAAAACTCTGAGAAAAAGTTTTGGTTCGGCCAAAAGTTTGTTGTTTGGTTGTTTTCTTGTTTGAGGTGCTAGCCTACACCTCCATGATCGGGTGCCTGGGCCAGGCGGGGCGAAGGGGGATGGAAGGGATGGAAGGAATTGGGGAGGCTGGTCAGGTCAGTCGATTTCTGGGGCGGGTTCAGGTTGACAAAAATCGGGTTCCGGTGGAAGAAACAACAGGTTGCCGACTTGCTTTTTTTTGGCTCGGCACCCACCTGTTTGGTTTTTTAGTCGGACACTTTGCCCGTTTTTGGTGTTCCCTGTAACATTGACTAACCCAATCAAATCGCCATTGCCCTGTGTTCCATGGGAAACCTTTGGGCAAGCAATGAGCAAGCCTCCCAAAAATGACACCTGAAGGTGGCGTTATTTGCCAATGGCCTTGTTTGACCGTGTGTTGCAGCGAGTCTGCTTTGAATTTAGGGTTTGTTGCCACCTTTTCAAGCTACCACCTGATGACTTAAAGTTAGAGCTGCTGGGGCTGTTTGCCCTCAATCTCCAGAACCAAAAACAACCACTTTGAAAAAAGCAGTCTGATGGGGGCAGATACTGGGTCCTTGGGGCCAATTGTCAGGTCCGCGCAAGCAAACCAATGTGTCCATGTGTCTGAACGTAAGGCGATCCCTGCGATTGGTTGTATTATTTGTTTCTAGTTTGTGGCTGGATGGCTTCTTGCAATCTCCAACATCGAGTACACCTTCCCACATCGCCAAGCGGAGCTTCATTGGGAGCCCTGTCTGATTCAAACCGAGCCTGGTAGGGTTTGGAATCAACGAAGTTCTGCCCTGATCGCCCGGTTTCTTTTCGCAACCCTTTTTTCAAGTAGATCACCCTGGTGGTTTGGATTAATCGTGGTGGGATTTATTTGCGCCTCTAGTGATTTTAGGACTGTAAATGGGAAACCTCCTAACCTCCAAACCAATGCAAAAGCCACCAACTGGACGGAAGCTGCATATTTCCGCTTCATGTTGCAAGATCGGCTTTGGCGATGTCATGATGTGACTCGAGTCGCAGAGGGTGGCAAGCATGCATAAGTCACATTATTGTTGGCCAACGCTGAGCAACTGGTGCGTAAATGGTATTCTGGCCATGCTTGGCTGAATCAACCGTCGGGACGCCTTCCAATCAAAGGGATCCATGTTCTGACGCACTCCTTTTGCATCAGGTAAGCAACTTACCTTGTTTGTTTCTTGGTTTTTTGCCCATTGTAAGTTGCAGCCAACTAAGCAACGGTCTCCTTTTCGCATTTGCTTTGGGGCAAGGACATATGCGCAGCTTCTAAGTGGTCACCCACCGTTTTTTTTGCCTTCTGACCTGCCGGTTGTAGATTTCAGCCCAAACCATTCGACTTTTTAAGAACACTCAAGGCTAAACTTCCGTTCTCTACTGAGGACGAAGTCCGTTTGCACCACCTAAGAAACCCTGGAATGATTCGATTCCCCTGTAAATACCAACAATGTCTCATGGCTTTAGAGTGCAGGATTTTGTCCATCAGTATGGTTTCTCTGTTCCCCTTTGGTTTCCCTTGCAAGCCACCCCCCCCATACCCCCAAACCCCCAAACCGAGTCCACAAAAGCTCCGCTAGGTGTGGGTTGTCTTCACCATGCACATCCGGTACATGGACGGCTCCTACCGCCCAGGAGGGCGCTTCTATGACCAAGTGGCGCCCAAGGCGAGCACGCGAGCGCGCGAGAAAGGGGCGGACTGGGTGCGTGGTGTGTGTGTGTGTTTTGAAAGGGAAGCCAACAGGAAAACACACTCTCGTTTTTTTTTTTTTTTTGTGTGTTTTTTTTTTTTTTGTGAGGGGGGTCCACCCATACAGTAATAGTCTTTTTCATAAAGGGCCTGGGATCCAATGAGGAATACAGGAGCCGTTTTGGGGCTTTTGGGGGATGTCACCAATGGGACTACGATAGATACAGGGAAGGCGGTCGGCAGATAGGGACATCGTCATTTGCGGGCCGCTAAAGAACGGATTGCTTGCCATGAAGTCAACATTTCAATACCTCCGGGGTAGAAATATGATCCAGATACAAAGCCGGCAAGTCTTAGCTGTTTGAAGCTGGGAAGGGCTTCGGTTTGTCTCCCTGCCTTGTGGTGTCATTCACCGATCATGAATTTGGCGACCTGGCAGGTCGTGCGCCGAAACTGGGACCCTCCCAACCGACCCGGTGCGTCGAAAATTTGGATTTTGAGCCGACCCCCCCCCAAAAAAAATGGATGGTTTTCATTTTTGGTTTCCCCTAGTTGGGGGTCCCCCAAAAGAAATCAAGCGACACGCCCACCCTTCAGTGACCCCTTTCAGAGGCCTGAGCCGCCTGAAACCCGCTGGAAAAACCCGCTTGAAGCGCCAAATCTCCGACAGAGGCGGAGGCGGTTTTGATCCTAGATCAAGGGATCCGAGCTCTCGTAGCCCCAGAGGAATTCGTTGTCGAACAGCATGTGGCGCGGATTGATCCCCTGAGCCGTGTGGAAGAAGATAAAGGGATCCCTGGAACTTGAATTCTCAACACAATCCTAAAAGAGTCTAAGAGCATCCTGCGCTGGAACCCTTCAGCCAGTCAAAGCCAGCTCACCCCGAACCAGACTTTGTTTTACATCAAGCGCCTTGATTTTGAGGCCAATTCTGCGTGTGGCAATCTTCAGAGGATGTTTTTTTTCGGGCCGATCGTTGCTTTTTCATACTTTTCCCACTCGCTACATTCACAGGCTACTGGGTGTGTCTTTTGTTTAGGGAACCCCCCAAAATTGATTTCGGCGTTCCTTTCGGTATCCCTTTAAACGACAGCCAAGCGGTACCAACTCAAACAAGACGCACGCCACGCTGATGTCCAGGATCAGCCCGACTTCAGTGACGGCGTCATCTACTGGAAGACGAGCGCTGGGACCTGAGGATCTCATGACAATCAGCACCCGATGTGCCTTTTGCAACTAGTTTCTGTGAGGGAATGCTCTTTAAAGTGATAACGTCATGGGGATGGCAACCACGTTGGCAAGTCACAGCAAGAGTCGTTTTCTCAACCATGTGCCTGTTTGACGTGCTCATCTATTTCCCTTCTTGCAAGACAACGCAAAGACAGAGGCTTCTGACACGATGGTCATAGCTAGATGGGTTGGAGCTTCATGTTGCGTCCCCTCAGTTCCCAGTGGCAAGTGTTTTTTTTGGGGCGGGGTGGGTGGGTTTCCCTGCTAAGCCACCCCCAAAACACAATGGAAACCGCTGGCGAGTCCCCAACGGACTCCAAGGGGCCCAGGTTTGATGAAGAGAGCCCATACACCCTGTATCGAGAACCCATTGCTACTGGAGGCTTGGAATCCACAGTTTGGGCACAAGCCACTCAGCAAGTGAGACTTTGACATGGCAACAAGAGAGCTGCCGAGATGGCTGTGGGTCAAAACCATTTTGGTACCATTTTGGGGGTAGGTGAATTCACCACCCATTTTAGTCAATTTAGTGGGAATTGGGATGTTCACTGGGGGTGCGGGGTTTTGACCCATGGCCACATGGCAACAAGAGAGCTGCCGAGCCAAAGTTGAAGACCAAAGATATCCCTTGGCCGGTAGTTTGCACAAAAAGCCTGTCTCAATTTTGGGAACACCGACTTTGCCCACAGCGGTCAAGAGGAATCCAAGGCTGGAAGTACAGTCGAGTCAAACTTTGGCACAGGCCTTCTTTTGCACCGGAAACAAGCAACGCACGGATCAGCCGCCTTGTTGTTTTTTTGCTTGTTTGTTTTTCACTCGGAAACCAGCGCTGCTTGTTTAGGCCGATTTCACAACCATCAGTTTGTCAGCGGTACCAGTGGATCCCGCTTTCTGAGGAAACCAGAGTTTGGCTCCCTTTTACTTTTGGAGAGACACGCTGACAACCTCTCAGGTGCCTTCCGAAGCAAATGGCTTTGAGCTTTTTGGAGGAGTCCTCAGCATCCTCTCATCAATATTCGGCCAACCCTTGCTCAAAAAGAAAGGCTGTTTTTTTGCTTTGTTTGAGGCTACTTGTTGGCGGGTTAAAGGAAAACCAAAAGGACCCCCCCCCCCCGCCCGTGTTGGGCTCGCCTAAAAAGCACACACACACACAAATGTCAGAACCGTGTCATGGATGGCTTCTCTTTGGCGTCCCTTCTCATATAACTGGTTGATGGATCTGAACAATCTTTCACAAGCCCGCCCATGATGAACATTATTCAATTGCGAATCCCTCATTTCCAATTGGGAAATCACAAGTGTTCGATCCAGATGAGAGAGGGAGAGAGTGAGTGAGTGTGTGTGTGTGTGTGTGCATGTTTTGTTTGGCACCCTTTTTCCGTTTATTTCCCTTGCTTCAAAGGGAACCAAAAGGAGCACGCCTTTGTTGGAAGGTGGTTCCCTTGGTTTAAAGGAAAACCACAAGGAGCACGTCGTTTTTTTTTTGTTCCCCCCCCTTTTTTCTTCCCTTGGTTTAAACAGACCCCAAAGCAAACCTTCTTGCTTTGACGATTTTACCTTGGTTTAAAGGGAGACCAAGAAGCACCACTTGTTTCTTTGAAGGGAAACCAACAGGAAACCGAAGCCATGGGCGTCCGAGCCGAGGCGGCCACCTTTGTGCTCCTCGGCTCCCTTGCGACGGCCTTCATCGCGCAGGGGTCTCGGATGGGCACGTCCAGGGCGCGTGTGCCTTTTTCAGGGTTTCCTCCATGTCCCTTCTTGGCTGCGGGTCAGAGTGGCTGAGTGGCTGAGTGGCTGGGGGTCAGAGTGGCTGACTGGCTGGGTGGCTGAGTGGCCGAGTGGCTGAGTGACTTGGATTCTGAGTGGCTGAGTGGCGACTTGGATTCTGAGTGGCTGAGTGGCTGAGTGGCTGAGTGGCTGGGGGTCAGAGTGGCTGAGTGGCCGAGTGGCTGGGTGACTTGGATTCTGAGTGGCTGAGTGGCTGAGTGGCTGGGGGTCAGAGTGGCTGACTGGCTGGGGCTGAGTGGCCGAGTGGCTGAGTGACTTGGATTCTGAGTGGCTGAGTGGCTGAGTGGCTGGGGGTCAGAGTGGCTGACTGGCTGGGGCTGAGTGGCCGAGTGGCTGAGTGACTTGGATTCTGAGTGGCTGAGTGGCTGAGTGGCTGGGGGTCAGAGTGGCTGACTGGCTGGGGCTGAGTGGCCGAGTGGCTGAGTGACTTGGATTCTGAGTGGCTGAGTGGCTGAGTGGCTGGGGGTCAGAGTGGCTGACTGGCTGGGGCTGAGTGGCCGAGTGGCTGAGTGACTTGGATTCTAAGTGGCTGGGGGTCAGAGTGGCTGACTGGCTGGGTGGCTGAGTGGCCGAGTGGCTGAGTGACTTGGATTCTAAGTGGCTGAGTGGCTGAGTGGCTGACTGGCCGGGGGTTAGAGTGGCTGAGTGGCTGAGTGACTGGGTGGCTGGGGTGTTCAACTTGCTAATTCGATTCAGTAATCAACATCGAAAAGGCATGCTGTTGTCTTGAAACCATGGATTTTTATTAGATGGTAACTATTGAAGTTCATCTTCTTGCCACTCCGCCGCTCAGCCCCTCTGACGCTCGGCATCGCAGCTTTGACAACCCAGGTTTCTAAAAAGTATTCCACTATTAAGGTCCCCTTACTGAATTTCACCCGCTTTCATGAAAGACGTTTGCCTGCCCTTATCTGATTTTGACCACTAAGTTTGATTACCAACAAAAAAGAACCCCCTTGTGAAGAAGGCGCTTTGTGAGAGTATCTTTTACCTTTCAAGGAACGTCCAGGGGAGCAATGAACTACGAAACGATGCGCTTCAATATTGGCCTGCTCAATTGCCCCGAAAAGGGGCCCCAATTTGTAAGCCCTTTGTAAGAGTGTCTTTTTCCACGTTGAAAGAGGCCACAACACATTGCAAAAGAGGCACTTTGATAGTGGCTCTCTTTTCGTGGACCTAGGCTGTCAAGACAGCTGCCTGCGTGTATTTTATTTTGACCACGGAGTCTGATTGCCAAGTAAAAGAAACACCCCCTTTGTGAAAGCGTCTTTTCACGTCCAGGGAGTAATCAACTACGAAAAACACTTTGCTCAATTGCCATGAGCTCGAATGCTGGTTTTATGGTTCCTTCATCAGCCAAAGTCAGTGCTCGATCGCCACACCGTTCTGTCACGTGAGATGTATCCGATATCAATGTTGTTTTCTGCCCGCCGTTGCCTGTCTCTCTGGCTGACATGCTTGTTGTGGATTAGCCTGGCTTTGAATCCGAACCGGATGGCCGCTAAAGATACACGCCCTCCGTAGTAAGTAACATCATCTTCAAGCTTCAGCCAGTCAGCCACTCTGACCCCCAGCCACTCAGCCACCCTGACCCCCAGCCACTTAGCCACTCGCACCCAGCCACTCAGCCACTCAGCCACTCTGATCCAGCCACTCAGCCACTCAGCCCCTCAGCCACTCAGCCTCTCAGCCACTCAGCCACTCAGCCACTCAGCCACTCAGCCACTCAGCCACTTAGCCACTCAGCCACTCAGCCACGGCTGAGCCACTCAGCCACTCAGCTCAGCCATTCAGCCACTCCAAGTGGCTGAGTGGCTGACTGGCTGCATATCATTTTCCACCCGGATTGCTCGTCTCAGGAGTTGTTTTTCAGGTATCCCTTAGTTGGTGGTTTGGATCGGTGGTTTTGTGTTTTGAACCCTTTCTCTTTTCAGCGGGTAAAGGGGGGAACCAGCCCCTAACCCCTGAATCACCCATCCAAAGCACCAGTCAGAGGGAATTCTGAATGTTTCTCACTTCCTGAGTTCCTGGACTTTCAACTTTTTGGGAACAAGTTAGTGGTCAACAAAAAGTGTTGGGCGTTTTTGGCCCATCCACTCGATCGGGACGTGTTTTGTTTGGTTTTGAGTCGCTCGCGCGATGATCTGATCCGCGAGGCACTACAATGCGCCCAAGTACTATGCGCAGCTGCAGGACGCCACTCCGGCAAAGTTCACGAAGGCGCGAGTGCGTTCGGGACGCCGGTGCCTGAGGGGCTGGCCGGGTGGGTGGCTGGGGGGTTGGCTGGGGGGTTGTTTGTTTTGTCAGTTGGTTCGTTTGAGCCCGCTCCCTTGGGAAATAGCATTCCCCTGCCTTTTTGTTGTTTCACCACCGCAATGGTTGATGAGCCCAATAGGTAGATATGTCGATGGTTGGGGTTTGGTTTACCCCCGCATGTTTGCATTTTTGCATGAAGCTAGCGCATCACTTTCAAGGTTGGAAGACCAGCGAATTGGTTGCAAGATCAAGCTTAAATCGAATACAACGCAGTGTGGCTCTTTCTTCCCTACAAAAAAGACACCCATTTTATCTCACCAGTATCCAATGGCAGCGCCATGGGCGCAGGTGGTCTGCGGCGCCTTTGCTTTTGCCGGGTCCTCAGAGAATTTGCGGGGCTCAAGAAGGCTCCGCGTGTTTGGGGGGCGTTCTGGTCGGAAGTTGTCCTTTTCGGCAGATTGGACAGGTTCCGACGGCCTTGAGATTTGAGGCGTATTCTGACGCTTAAGTTCGCAGGAGGCCTTCTTGACGCTTGTTTGGACCTTTACAACCTTTTAAGAGGCCTGTTTCCCCCCTCAGCCTCCCTCCCCCTCGCTCCGCGTTTTTCCGCTTCCTTCCCCCCCCTTTTGCCGTTTTTCCGCGTGTTTCCGCTTCCCCCCCCTCCCCGGTTTCCCCGCCTTTGGCTGTTTTTCCTGTTGAACGCGAGGCGACGATCATCTATTTCTGGATCATGGCCGTTGGGTACCTCACCTTCGGCTCGGCGGCTGAAGGCCTCATCCTCAACAACTACTCCGAGCAGGACGCTTTCGGCGCCGGTCGGCGGGTGTCCACTGGGATGTCCGGGACGGGGTCCGGAACGGTGTTCGCCCCCAGGAACCCGGGAGTGTTTAGTGTTTTTTTTGTTCCCCGTGCAGGGAGGATGACCAGGTTTTCATGGGATTTTCTGGTGATTCTAGGAACCCACAGGGTTGTTGCACATGTGCCCTAGGGAGGATGACCTTACAAACAGTTGGCCAGGTGGCTTGGTCACAAGCATGACACTGGTTTGGCAGAGATTCAATAGTCAAAGTGAATCTTATGAACTCGTCCTCAGAACAAATCATGAGGACTCCGGCGTTCACTTAAGCTCAATTTCGCCGTGTTGCATTTCCTCAGTCCATTGGCCGAACTGCAAGGAGCCTCCTTCGAAGGATTAATTGTGTTCTCGGGAACGTAGCTCGGGCAAGCAAGATTTCCCGAATGAGCAAAATGGGTGTCTTGTTTTTAGGTTGGACACCTCAAAATGGTGGTTTTCCTTGTGGTTTCCCTTTAGAACCACAAAAAGACTCAAATGGGACCTTTCTTTGACTCGCATGACAGTCAGTATACTTGCAGCTTGCCTTGAACATTGGACATTGCTGAACAACAGCACTGGGCATGAGGATATGATATGACATTTAGCCGCGTTTGCAAGGATATGCTTTCTTTTTACGTCCCGAAGTCACTTGCGGAACGAATGGACATTATTTGGCATTTTTACCATTGTCAGACAGCAGGAACTGGGCTGTATGTGAAAACATTTGAACTGGACCGGGGATTTCTACAGTTCGGGCTAATCTTATGTGAGTTTCCTTTTGGCAAGGTGTGGTTTAATCTCTTTCTCTCTCTCTCTCTCTATACATATATATATATATATATGCAAATGGGTATGTGTCAAAGTAGGGGCACCCCCAAAATTGTGGTTTTCCTTTTGGCTTACTTTTAAAATAACCTGAAAAGGGTACCCTGAGGACACCTTAAAACGGGGAACCCCTTTGATGAAGTCAAGGCCAAACAACGGCAAGGCACCTGAATGGTTTGAGGCTGTGGGGCAAACCACCTTGAACCGTTTAAGTGGGAAACGCAGGGCAAACCATTGCAGTTTGAGCAGTTTAAACAAGGGGTCGACCCAACCCAGACGCCACCCAGGGTCCCTAGTTTAGGAAAGACCCATATGGGTATGGGTCAAAATTAAGCCACCAGGGGACCGCAGGTTTTGGTCCATGTTTCTGTTTACCAGGGTTCCATTTTGGGTACCTTTTTGTTGACCCACAGCCATCATATGCTTCCCAGAAAAGCACCCAGGCGGACCATGTTGGGAGCCCAGTTGAAAACTTCACTCCCCATGGCAGACTTTGACTAACTTTGATGCTTGATTTGCCGTTAGTTGTTCCTTGGGGTTCCTTTTTCAGCCACTAAAAGTAACTTTCGGCAGGTCTAAGTCCGGTCTCCAGGAGCGACTTGATACTTGTCGACACATACTTTCAGTGGCGAGCGAAAAATGTTTGGATCTTTTTCGGCCAATCCACTTAAGTTATAAGCAGGGAATGAGGGGATGACCCCGATTTAACCCATCCCTACTGTGGATGGACGAAATCCTGCACCACCTAAAAAACCCTGGGGTGACTTCCCCTGTAAATACCTGCAAACAATGGCTTGCTATGGTTTCAAAGTGGTGCAGGATTTCGTCCACCCACAGTATGGCTTCCTCTAAGGGCATCCTAGGTTGATTCCCAACACCCGCAAGGTCATTCCTTACTGACCAGTGGATTGGCCGAACAAATCCAACTCAGAGGTCAAAATCGCAGGCCCTGGGCTGCTGACTTTCGCTTTGCAGGACGGCCTCGTCACCACGGCGCGCTTTGCCATCAGCTTCGCCCGGGGCCCCGATGGCAGGGAGGGCCTGGGGCCCTGACTGTTCCTTGCAGGTTCCTTGGGGCGCCTTGGGGGTTTTTCAGGGGTCCTTTGGGGTTCCTTACTGCAGTCCTTGCTTGGGTTTTCGAGCAACTGTTATGAATTTCGCAACTGGCGTTGGTCCCCCTATAACAAGTAGGGGTTGCTTGGTGGCCCTGGCAAGCGATGCTTGCACTTGGCCAACATGGGCTTGCCAGGATTCGTGCTCCCCTTCTCTTTCTTGCGCCTGGTGAATTCCTATTGTTTGCTTTCAGGTCCAGTTCAAAAGGTAACCAGTTCATAGAAATGTGCCGCCCGTTTCCCGACATTTAAGGACATGGCTGCGTGGAGTCTGTGACATGCCCCCATCATATGCTCCACATATCTGGTTTGCTCCCAGTGCAGATTTATTGTTTATCTAAACCCAAGTCTGCGCGGCCTTACTGTCCCTTCTCTTCAGTTGGGTTTTGAAAAGGGAGCTTTCAACAGCCTCTCGCGAGATGCCGGTGTAATCCCAAATCAAAAAAAGGTTCGGGTGTGAGCCGCAGCCTTCTCCTCTGCCGGTTTTCCTCTAATTCAACGAACGACAAACAGGTATCCTTTTTCTGTATTGGCCACATAGCCAAGAAGATAACCTCAACCAATCAATCAGTATGTGTCAAAAATGCAATGAACAAGTAGGCACCCTTTTGGAATCCAACCAGACAAAGCTGGCCCTACTTTGACACATCCCCGAATGAGGATTTGATGAGCAGGTGGCAGTAGGTGTGTGTGTGTGTTTTCGCTGGGCTTGTGAATCTTTCGTCGAGCACTTGGAAAATCACCAAAACCCAGAAACTTAGAGGGCCCTTTGTTTTTGCTAACTTGAGACACCAGGGACTGGTTGGATCTCCCCGGCCGCTCCTCCAACCCCGCAGCCCCCAATTTCGCGGTGTTTTGTTTTGTTTCGAGCCCACCTGCGGTTGGATGGTTTTTGCAAGGCGAACCAAAAGCAACACCGTTGCCGCCATTTTGGGGGGTCCAAATTTCAGTTCAGATCCTAAAACATTTCGTTAGTTGTTGCAATTTTGTACTGAAAGCATGTTTTAGTTCAGTTGGATGTGATGTACATTTCAGTTGAGTTCAGTTCAGTCCAAAATGGCTACACAATTTCAGTTCAGTTCAGTTCAGTTTGAGTTGTAGCCATTTTGTATTCTTTTGAAATTGCATGTAGACTCCTAGACCCTGACCCCAAAAACTCTACACGTGACGAACCAAGCCCAGGTGCTGGGAGCCTCTGGGATGTGGGGCATCGCATGGGTCTTCCACGTTCCTTCCAATTGAATTCTGGACTACCGGATATTCGACCGGAACCTCGTATCGGTTTGTTTGTTTGTTTGTGTGTTTGTTTGTTTGTTCGTTCGTCCGTTTGTGTGCTTGCTTTTTTTTGCTTGTGCGTTTGTTTGTTTGTCCATTTTGGGGGGCTTCAAACCCTCAAAAGCGACGAGCCCCTGTTGCGACACCTTTCTTGAGGCTGTAGTCTTCGCCTTTCCCCTGGGCTTCACCGGCCTGCGGGACGCCACCATGTCCACCTTCAACATCTCCCAGGAGCCTTTGACGTGGTTTTTCGGTGGCTACTCTCTTAAAGAGCTGGCGGTTCCCGGCTCTTTATCCGGTTCCTTAGGTTGCTTCAGCTTTTTAGTCAGTTGGTTTAGTGGTAGGGTTTAGGGTATTTTTTGGTGGCTACACTCCCTCCGACCTTTGTTCCTGTGGCCGGCCCGTCACAAAGGCCGGGTTTCAGGTTACCGACTCAAAAGAGCAGACGACAGCTTCTTGCTTTAATTCATTGGTTGTTTTATTGGCGGTTTGGAGGTTAGATGTTGTCTTCCCATTCACCCAAATCCCCAAACCAATCCGAATCGACCGGGTATGGGTCAGTTCTTGTTACCACAACGGGACCGCAGGTTTTAGTCATTGTTTTTATGTACCAAGGGTTCCGTTTGGGTACCTATCGTTGACCCACCTCCAACTATATAAGGGTTGCGTGAACAAATCGGCTGAAGCCCCGTCCCCATGGCACACGGGGAACAACGCCCCGCGAGCGGGGCTCTGCTATTAGGCAAGCGTTGGTTGCCAGAGAGACGGGCACATGACAAGCCTGGATACAAGGTAGGAATTGCTGTCTTGCCTTCCCGGTTTGACCAACATTGCCTTGCAACCTTTTGGACAAGCTTCCCCACTGGCACAGAGTTCACCTGGGGTTGACAATGGCTACAACGGGATGTTGGGCCAAGGGGCCCGAGCCAAGCGACTCTGGGGTCCACCTTTGTTGTCGCCACCAGTAGGTGCCGCCTTCCCAAGGGGGATGCCAAAACGAGCCCCGAATGTTGTTGAATAACCCCCCATTTGTGAGAAGCAATGCTTGGGGTATTCTGCAAGTTTGAAACATCAGATGTGTGGCTGCCCTCTTGCTTTTGTCTGGTCTTTTGAACCTGAGGACTAGTTTGGAACATAGGTCCCTTTTCCGCAAGAAGGCAAACTCAAAAACCGGGGAAGTGGGACAGTTTGGTGTCCTTTTTCAAGGGACCGCCCAAAATTGTGGTTTTCTCTCGGTGTCCGGTTGACACTTCAAAATAGAAAAACCAGGTACTTGGAACAATCGCCACCTAAAGAATTGACCTGCTCAAAGGCTCAGTAGACGGGTGCTTTTTGTTTGCGCTGACTGGGAGCCTCAGACTTCAGCAGGACATTGTCTGTCAAGGCTCTGGCGGCCGGATCTCACTTACGGCTTGGAATCTGAAGACCTGCTGTGAGAAAGGACACGCCCATTTGGCTGCGAAGGACAGGTTCCGAACGGTGACCTTCCTGTTGCTGGCTATCATCATCACAGCCGCCTGCTTCTTCCATGACTTGGGCCTGGTCGGGCCCTCAGCCTCTCCAAATCCGGGATTTGGTGAACCTTTTGGGACTGAAGAAAACACAAGCTCAAAAGAGGGTTTCCAAAAGGATAGGCACTTTTGAGGGGAACCCTTGTGTGTTAACTTTCGGAATCCTGCAGCACCCAACCTCCAAATCGCCAATACAATCCCGACCAATTGGAGGGAAGATGAGTTGACACGGAAAGGGGCAAAACAAAAGTTCAAACTGTTACTTGGCACAAGTTTCAGAGACACCAGCCGGTCCTGCGGGAAAAACCAGACGGCTTTGCAGAGTTTCAATCTCCACAAGTCGAGGCGCTGACTGCATGTGCCGCATTGCCTTAAGCAGAATCCCCCCGCCTGGAAAACACAAACCCCTAGAAGTCACGAAAGCTAGCTTTAGCTAGCTGAAGTTTCTCCTTGCGTAAGCAAGGTGCCGAAAGATTGATTTTTTCAATTATTTGAGCCGAAAAGATTGAAAACCATCAATTATTTAGACCCCCCCCCCCTCCCCCCCCCCCCCGCCGGTCTCAGGCTCGATTCCTCCCTGGTCCATCCCCCCCCCCCGGGCAGTGGCTCAGTGTTCAGCAGTCTCGGTTTGCCCGTTTTGGACTTGGTGCTACGAACTTTTACATGTTCCACCGATTCAGCTTGTTCATTTGAGACCTCAGTCTTCTCAGTAAACCACCTCGCAAGAATCTTTGCACACGCAGCATGCAGAACCCAGAGGTGCTTTAAGACAGCTTCTGACGCCTCTCGTTGTTTTCATTTTTCAAGGTTTGCCACGCCACCATGTGCGTTTGCGTGTCGCATCCTACGAATCTTGCCGGGCCTCTCGTTGTACACAAGCTACCTATGAATCCACTCTGTCACCGACCCATCTCATGCAACAACTGCTAGCTTTCGTTCACCCGCTCCTCAAGTCTAGAAGCCAACTAAAGGGTACAGTGCAGGAATCTCCTTGTGGACCAAAAAAGACCAATGCGGTTCCTCACGGAACAAACTGCAGGACCTCTGGCTCCATCTGATCGCGCCTCATGTTTTTACCACCAAAGTCAGTTTGCCAGGGGTAGCTCAAAGGGAAAAAAACCCAAATGCTCTACAAACGATTGCCTTTTTATTGGGGACCTTCCAAAAACGGTTGGTTTCCTGTGGGCGTGGGGTCGTCAAGAAAACCAAAGACGCACAAGAAAAGGGCTGCGGGTTGAGGCGAACAGCTTGGGCGGCGCCATTTTGGGGGCGCTGATCACGATGATCTTCCCGGCGCTGTTGCTCTACGGTGCCAGGCCCGAAGCCATGCTTCAGGCCATTTAGTGCCACTGGGACCCCGGCGATCCGGTTCGGAGCGATTTGTTCAGCGGATATGAACATGCAATGCAAGCATGGGTAGGATGCTCGTGAACCATAGTAGCAGACGCATATACATATACATATGATAGATAGAGATAAATATGTACAGAGTCTATAAAAACAAGGAGGAAAACAACACTATATATATATATATATGTATACACACAAGTATGTCCATTGCATTTGTCACATTCCCGTCCTCCATTCCACGCGGTCCTTCACAGCAAACGTCGCCAGGGATTCGGTGGAGATCTCGCGGCTGGAGGGCCAAGTGGGCGGCGGCCTGGTGCTGACGCTGGGCTTCATCTTGCTGCTGCCCGGGCCTCGGCTCTCACATCTCCCAGTCCCAGTGGGTCGATCTGCCTGGTTTTTCATGGGGGCTGGGGGGGAGGGAGCCCAAAGAACTTATTAAGCCCTTAATAAGGCCTTATTTGGGGCTTATTTGGGCTCCCTCCCCCCCCTCCTCCCTGCCCCCCAGCCCCCATGAGTTTTGGGCCTCGAAACGCGGTGGATTGATCTGGTCCACCGGTGGTCTCCAAAGGGGGGTTTCGTTTCTTCTTCTTTTCCCCTTTTTTTGCGGGGAATCTATTTTTGGGGTTGGTTGAAAGGGAAAGCCACAAGGGAAATAATCATTTTTGCGGAGGGGATCCCCCGACGCCGATTTCTCAAAATGGATGGTTGTTGTTTGGGTGGTATTCAAGGGGAAACCAAAAGGACACCAGCCATTTTAAGGGACCTCTATTAAGCAAAAAAACACCCATAGGGGGCCGTTTTGAGGGTACCCACCTGATCTTTTGGGGAAACCATAAGGAATATTCTGTAAACGTGGTGTGGCTATTTTGTGTCAAATTCTAACCGGGAATGGGAAACCCCACAGTGTCAACGGGGGAACCTTGCTTAGGATAGACTAAATAGTGTTGGTGAAAATCTGCTTCGCACCAGTTGGTAGATGGTGTATCTCATTCATTGAACTTCATCCATCTCAACTGGTACGAAGTGGATTGTGTCCATCCACGGTATTGCTTCACAGTTCACTTGCGGAACCGCTTCCAACACGGTTGGCGGACTTGTTCATCCCCACCAATATGATGTCCACCAGAGGGTCCCTAATTAAAATTCACAGCCAGAGTTTTGACAACTTTAGGGTAGGCTAAATACAGAACCAGTTTGCGCTGCGGGTGACCTTTAAGTGCGACTGATTTGGAACCCTGACGCAGCACCTGTTTCCAAAATGCGAGTGCGTGTTTGCATGAGGGGCACATTTGTTGGAAGTGCACTTAGGGTGATCAAACTAAGATGTTTGCCAAACTTGGGAAAATGATTCGAAGGGTTGGGTTACAGGAAATTCTACAAGAAAACTGCCTATTTAGGGTGTTTGGGGGTCTTTTCCTGTAGATTTTCCCGCAACCAAACCCTTTGTGAATGATTGGTACGGGAAGCTTTGACTTATTGGTGGAGCACGCGCTCGCCGACAACAAGTCTTTTGGGGTATAGGGGCGATAGGCACCAACGGTGGGCGAAGCCTGCAAGGGCGCCCGTGAAGGTGAGGGGCCGCCCCGTTTTGGAAGTTGGAAGCCAAAAAGGATATGTGCTTGAAGGGGACCCAACATTGAAGCCAGAAAAACAAGACATGCCTGTAGGTGCAAGTCCTGTTTACATGAAACTGTTTGCGCCAGCGCGCATTGATCAGCATCGCGTGCTGGATTGATGTCGCTGTTGTTGTCCCCGTGTCATCAAATGAGCAGTGTTCTAAAATGCCGGGGTCTTGGAGCCGACATCATTCTGAACAAACTCGCCCAGAGCCAACACGCAGAGGCCCATGGCATGCTTTCAAGTTTCTCCGAAGCTCCGCGGAAGAACTAAGAAGAATCTTCAGGAAAGGGCGAGGCTGAGCCCGGGCTCTCCGGCCGGGTCAGAAGCAGAAACACAGGCAGCCTCGGAGTCACTCAAAACTCGGGATGTTTCCTTTAAAGCTTCGCGAAAAGTTCGCGGAAGTCTTCCCAGGCCAGCCGGTTACACAGGCGCAGTCGACCCGTTTCGCGGAAGCTGCAAACAGGCCAAATGAAACTGGCGGCAATGTGGAGCACTGCTCAAATTGCAGTATGTGGTGGGTGTTAAAAACAAACAAATAACAAGCGGGGGCCCTTGTTTTGTGGGTATCCTTTTTGGTTGGTTTCCAAGCGAAGCCAACAGATCACAACCATGTGTTGGGGCCCCTCCCCCCCCAAAAAAAAGACCCCCCCAAAAATATATGGCCAAAGTATGGCAACCCCGCCTGACCATCATGAAGGTTTCTGGCTGATGCGGCTGATTTGGTCCGCTGATCCAGTGATCCGCTGGGCCCCTTCTGATCTCAGGTGGGTGACAGGGTGCTTAGAAATAGATGGGTTTCACTGGTTTATGCCCCATCTACCAGGGCCATCTGATTGTTTTACCAAAAGGTCGCTAATGGTAAACTCGATGAGGGCTCAAGGGGGAAAATGCCGAGGTTCGGGTCCTCGATCGTGGTCATCGCCAAGTTCTACCCTGAAGTTCTGGCGGGTTAGGTCGATCGGCCAAAGCAGCCAATGAGAGGCCTGAGCATTCAGTGCGCACCGTAGTTGCATGCAAGCCCTTTGGGGACATTTAAGACCATAGGGGATCTCAAGTGATAAGCGATCATTCGGGCGATTTGGCGCGGCGAAAGAAAGGGTCCGATGGGCGGCATCATCTCAACATGCAGAGGTCAAGCTGGCTTACAAGTAGCTGGACCCCAGTGGGCCCGCTTTGGGTAGGCAAATCCATTGAGGCTGCAGGTAGATGCATACAACCTATTCAACCTTGTCAAGCGAATCCCAAGGCACAAATCACTCCCCCCCCTGTTATTGGGATCGCGAGGGCCTTGACAACCACAGGCATGGGCCAACGGTTGGACATGAGCCGTGCATCCTTCGGGGCTCCGTAGAAACGATTGGGTGAGATTTGAACCAAGGCCATGAACACACCAGTCCTTGCCTCTCAGTGCTGATTGGACTGGGACATAGGCGGAGCTGCAGCACATGCGCATGGAGAACATGCGGCTGCGTTTAAAGCTGGCAGAGGCCGGCCTCTCGTCGGGAGGCCAAGTGGACTCGCGCTCTTCCACGTCGGGTTCTTTAACTCAGCCGATCTAAGAAACATGCGGCCAATTCAAGAGTGGTAGAGCCACCAAGGGGCGCGGCCACCTTTTCAAGTCTTTACATGGCTTTGGGGAGACTAGACTCCGATGCCAGGCTTTGATTACAGTTGCCCCGCCTTAGTTGTCCAAAGCAAGCGGCCATTTCTCAGGTTTGATTTGTGCGCCATGGCCCACAAAAGGAAACCATAAGATGGAATGAGGCCTTCATACAGCTTGGTGCGTGCGAAATTCAGGATGGATCTGCACAAATTATGACGAGCTCACCAACCTGATAAATTCCCTGTTTTGGGTTGAACTACAGTCTTTCCAATCATGGAAGCTGACAGGAGGATTTTGAAAGACTGCTCTCGTTTTTGGTGAACCCCCCTGTCCACTTCCATGTTGGAAGGAGAGGTACTGAGAGGGGGTTTTGTCTCATGCGAGAATCCCTCAAATGGCTATCCTGTAAAGTGGCTGCAAAAAGTTCAACCGTGATAGGGTTCCGGGCCAGCTTTTGTGACAAGGCAATGCTCTTCAACGAGACAAAGTGGTGGTTGGATGGAAATCCCACCTTGGACATGCTTGGGCCATTTTCCTCTAAAACGGACCCCTTGGTGAGTTCCATGTTGCACGAATGGAACATTTCCCGAGGCCATGTGTCGACTCGGAACCCATTTCCCTGAGGCCGGAGGACAAGCGGACGGAGCCCAAGGAGATCAAAGAGGTGAAGGAGGAGGCCTCGGTCAGCGCTGTGTTTCTGGACTTTATGCTTTTTGAGAAAACCATTTTGGTGGTACCCTCCCACCAACTAGCATGGAAGTGCAAACTGGCCCTTTCCAAGAGGACAGTAGTCTTTCTACAGGGGTCTGTGCACTTCCATGTTAGCTGGTGGGAGGGTAAACCAAACGTTTGGACCCGTTTGTTGGCCAATCTACTCGATCGGAAGGGAGGATATGTGTCATCTTTTTTTGGGTTTTTGACTCCAAGACATGGTGGTACGCATACCCATATTTGTGTGTTTTGCTTTAGGGAGACCCCACAAACATGTTTTCCTGTTGGTTTCTGTTTAAAGCAACCCAAAAACGGGTGCCCTCAAAAGAAGACACTCCCATATCGTTGGTTTGCGGGGATTGGTTTCCCTACTTTGGCTTCGGTCCAATGCATGGGTTCGGGTTCGGGCCGGAGGCTTAGATTCAGCATAGGTAGTCGGAGAAGCTTGGCTTATGAGCCAACATTAAAGGGATTCGTTTGAGCGAAGTCCGGGACAATCCAAACCAATCGAAGCGGTTGCTGTAAAAATTGTGGATGCACGAAATCCATTTCGCACCACCTAAAAAAACCCTGGGGTGATGCTTCCCTTTTGTAAATACCAACCAACGTTATGGTTTGCGATGGTTTCAAAGTGCTGCGAGATGGATTTCTTGTTGCATCCACAGCAGGTCCTCAGTTGCATGGCGTTCCGTTGAGACTCCTTCGATGCCGCTGGCCTTTGGTTGCGACGCTGCCGTTGGAGTTGGGCATCCCAGGCTCGTTTTAAGAAGTTGAGGCTTCAGGTTTCGTTTGAGATACACTTGGCTGGGAATCTGCTCTTTCAGTCGCGCCGTTTGTATTGGTTTTCATGGGGCTTCAAGAGATGGTCCAGGCAAAGCTTGTTCTTCATCCCAATCTGAGGCATTCTTTGCCTGTACAATGTATGACCTCATTGTTGGCTACGACTCCCGGAAGACAAGAGCTGAGGAGTGTTGGGCACTGGCAACCCCGGATCAAACCGCTTGATGTTGATCGGGGGGTGATTTTTTGTTGTGGAGCTTCAGACCACTGGGCAGTCAGTATCCGAGAAGCTGAGCAAGAGCCCAAATACCAGAGGCTTTGGCGCTTCGCAAAGCCAACGAGCTGAGGTCCACTTTGGGTATGGGGTCAAAATTAAAGCACCTGGATCTTCCAAATCATGGAAATTTAGCGTAACATCCGGAGACTGCCAATTGTTTAAGGGTCTCTGCGAAAAATTCGGAGTTTTCAGACTCCTGGTTTTTGAGGTAAAACTAACAGAAAATTGTCACTCCTGGAAATTGGTTTGCACACCTGAAACCTAAACATCGCAATTAGTCAGTACTTGACGGAAGGAGCCCTCCAATTCAGGAATATTCTGAGTCAGAATCATTCACATGAAAATCAGTTATTCTGAATTCAGAATATTCAGAAAAAGTAATATGTTTTTTCTTCAGAATTTGCCCCTTTGGGCGACAAATTGGCAAAGCACCACACCCCAAGAACAACCCCTAGTTTTTGATGTTCACTCTTGCCTTCTGCAAACCACTCCTGCTTTTTGATTCATGCATTTGAACCACCTGAAACTCATAGTGTTTAGAGGGTCTCCCGGGGAAAAAAAAGAAAAACAAAAAAACGGAGAGCAAACAGAGACATAATCCAGAGACGGAGGGCCCAGGCACATATGGACTGCAGGGTCTAGTCTTTGTTTCGATTTCATGTTTGAGTCCCTATGTTTGACCCACAGCCATTTTGCCCTGGGCGGGACACTGCTCCGAACAAAGTCACCTTTACAGCGGCAGGTTTCTGAGTCCGAGATGTCGTCGCGAGGTGTCCAGCAACCGCGACAAGGTGCGATCGGGCGTGGAGATCAAGGCGGGGGTTGGGCGGCGGTCGACCCCTGCCTCGTTTGCCCACTGCGAATTTTTGCCGTTTTACACGCGTTGGTTTTCCATCTTGGGTGAATTTGCAGCCAAGGTCCCAAAAGGAAAGCTTTCTGATTTCGAGGTGCTCTGGGCAAGTGCGGGGTGCGGGGAGGCACCCTTGGAATGCCATTTACAGTTCCATGGCGGAAAAACAGCGGGGGGAGGAGAAGGGAAGTAGGAAGGCACGGGTCCTGCATGTTGGGAAGTGGACAGAAAATTCACAATCGATTTAATCGTTTGTTAACATATATTATATATTCAGTATCATTCAAAACAAACACTGGATAATATATATATATATACTTGCATATTAATATGTATGTATATGTTCCTTCCAGGTCCGGCCGAGCCCCGACATCCCCGCGCATCCCCAGCATTCCAGGGCATCCACAGGGCTCCCTTCAGCTAAACCCGGACAAACCTCAACCAACCCACCCCTACTGTGGATGCACGAAATCCATTTCGCACTACTTCTTTAGACTTTAACTTTTTGGGAAATCAAGAAGTTGTCTACTAAACCCCCAAAAAGTTAAACTTTTTGCAGGGGGGTCAACAGCAACCAAGAACTTTGACACCATGGTTGAACCATAACGTTTATTGGTGTTTACGTTGGGGATTCGACTCCTTCCGGGGTTTCTGAGGTGGTGCGAACGGATTTCGTCCATCCACAGAATTCACCAAGCTTCAAGCAATCCCAAGCCACTACCACTCTAGGGGGGGCTACAGATAAACACTCTTCATACTGAAATAGCCCTTGGTGCTATTGATCCAAGTTATTTACAGTATGTATGTTTTGTGTCCACCTTAGCTGCTGAAATTAACACGACAATCCCTCATCCATTTTTGTTGGTAGAATGTCATTGAACAAGTCATTCATTTGTAAAGGGGAGGCAAGTCATTGAATGCTTGAGATCAAGAACCGCTAGTCCACGAGCGCCGAGCGGACCACAGTAGTTTTAAGTGGGAGGACTCATAAGAAGCCCGGGAAAACGTGATTGGGCCCAATGGGGCCAGTATTAAGTGCCTCTGGCAGCCATATTAGGCCCTTTGCGCGAGGGCAGGTGAAGGCATATACGAAGGATACATTTCAGGAGCGTTCTTGTTCGGGATGAAGCTGCTACAAGAAGTCATCCTTGAATTGGTGGTGTATGCATTCTGGTGGTTGCGCAGGCGCATTTTCCTCGCTATTTTTGCGGATCCGCCGCGCAGGCTCTGCGAAATGTGTATATAGATGCTTGTTTGGGCACACTAGCAGCTCAATCATCGGAAGTTACAAGTTGCATGGCTTGTGAAAAGACAGTCAGGTAAACCCTCTGCCGCGTGTCGGCCGCGCCAAGCCGCAACGCAAATCGTAGAGCAAGCAGTGGACTTAATGCCCAGTTTGTACGAGGCAAAGGCTTGGCAGCAATACAAAGCCTCAAGCAAACGAAACGCTCATTTGAAGCTACAAATCTTTGGCTCCTGATGTTTTAGGCATACATGCTGGCTTTGGCATTTGGGTGCTTCCCTCCCACAAACATGGAAGTTGTCAGGGGCCCTCATTGTGGGGTAAATGGATGTGTCTTGCCTTCAGGTTCCGTCCTTGTTTTTTCCCGAAAGGGAACCCCGCCTTGCGAGAGTCCCGCATAGCCAAGCTCGAATTGGACAAACAAAGTTTACGTCTGGAGGTGGATGTGAGTGTTTGGCCCGGAAGACCAAGGAGCAGGGCGGGTTTTGC